AATGACCCAACTGAAGCTTGCCCAAGAAGATCATGTGGCGCAGGAACAGGAGTTGCTCAAGGATAAACGCGAGCTGCGACGATTGCTGCGCGAAAGAGAGGAAACGCACGAATTGCAAATTCAGCAGCTAAAGATGAAACACAACGATGAGATGGCGTGAGTAGGTTTTGGATTTGTTGTTATTCTTTTTCAGGGTATAACAAACTCCAGTAATTCAATTTTAATACAAACAGCATCTAAAGCTTTAAGCTTGATCTCGATTTCTTGTTGAACCAAAAAATTTAGCTCACATTGACTTTCCACAAGAAGTTCCAAAACAAGCCCGAAAATTCTAGTTGCAGATATTTTACCAAAAGATTAAGCCACTCCGTGTTAATTAGAACCTGCCAGGGAAAGATGGTCCTTGCACCATGGCACAGGCTGGGGGGAGAATATCCTATTAACGATAATGCAAGACTTTGATCACATCAAAGCATATGCGGATGACGTTTGTGCACTAGCGTCAGGAAATGCTCTTAGGGAAGCTTGTGTAAAGACGCAAAGAATCCTAAATAATAATGGTGATGAAAAAAAACTACTTAGTACTGTTTATGCCAAAAAGAAAATTAGACGATCTTTAGATGTGTCTATCTGTGGAAGTGAAATATCTATAGATACATCTAGAAAGGACGTGGAAAACTCACGACGATGTTTAGGTAAATCTAGCGCCGAATTTTTTAGGACAGAACTCTGCTTTATTCTACGGATTGATGTATCCTGCTGTAATATGCTGGTGTAGGCAATAGCAGAGTTTTAGCAATCTAAGAGGAAGCGATGAACTGGTGCTGGATGACATCTGGCATGTAACTTTAGATGCTTTTCTGCTTTAGGTATCGTTAGGTTAGATATTATTGTAGCCATGCCTAGATCGGCCTGTCTCCTAGTCGCTGCCGACAAACTCAACTAACGGCAAACCCAGGAAGTGTGTCACTCCCACTGGGTTCGACCAAACGAAGAGCAGCTTTAGTTTTGTGGGATTTTGTGGGCATGCAAAGAGGCTTGTGGCGTCATGGGGTGACTCTCCGCAGGCAGGACGTATGTAGGGAACATCTGAGCTTATCCTGCTCAGGTAGGAATTTAACCTTCTGAACTATGCAGATCGAAGTTCTGTCTAATCCACGTCGGGTGGTTGTGCTCCTAAAACAGCATTGACAGATCGGAAGTAGGTTGGGATCGACTCCTTTTTAATGCCGTTTATGACCTATATGTATACTGTCAGGTCCAGTGGTTATTTTATGGACCTCTGGACCACGTCCGTCAGTTCATATAGATGCCTTCTGACGTGCCAGAAGTAATGTTTAAGAACATTACAGTCTTCTTGGCAAACTGAAAGTCCTTATCGGTACTATTTTGGCGGCGGCTTTTAGATTGAGAAGAATGTCTGCTCTTAGGAGACTATTCCGCATTTAGTTATGGGCACGACACTGGCAGAAGATACATTCCACTGCCTTTTCTTTCGTTCCGTATCTCCGGTAGATTTTTCAGTTTAAAGGCGTTCGAAGCCAATAGCTTACCGTCTTCCTTCTTGATTGATAGGAGAAACTTCATGCGGTTGATATCATGCATTCTACACATAATCCTAAACGCTTTTGAGCTTTGCGCTTTGATCTAAAACTTGAACACCTTGCGGATTATGAACATGTCGACCTCCCATTTAATCGCTTGCAACGAGATCGGCACTTCCTCCATCAGCGTAGCTACAGACAGATCGCCTTCTTTGGCAAGTCTGTCGGCCTCCTCCTTGCTCGATACACCGGTGTGCACCGGAACCCGGCACAGATGTACGTCTGTGCCAATATGTAGTGCATATAAAGTTGCCCTGCACTTCGCCAAACTTCCTAAGTTAGTGCTGCGCGATAGTAGCGCTTTTACCGCAGCCTGACTGTCGAAATAGAGATTCACCCGTTTTTGTTGTGCTGCTTCGAGTTATTTATTAGGTTGCTTCTCATTAGGTCCGCCGCCGCGTGAATTAAGAACCGATTTCAGAAACTGTAATCCACAGACTGTATCAGAGACCAATCACTGCCACTGTCGCTTTCTGAATATTATAGGAAATGAACTACACAGAAAATCCTTTGCTTGTTTTCTCCAATAATTGTTTTCTTTCTATCACCAGTCAGGCGCGCATTCAGTTCCAGCGAGAAGCCAAGGACATGGAACTTTTGCACGAAGAGAAGATGAAGGCGCTGAAAAACGAAATCGAGCTTGCCTATCGCATGCAAATGTTCGAAGTGGAAGAACGAAAGAACACACAGATTCAAAGATTGATCGAGAGCCACGACACCGCCTTCAACGACATGAAGAACTATTACAACGACATCACGCTGAACAATTTGGGACTAATTAGCAGTTTGAAGGATCAACTTGAAGTGTTGCGTAAACAGTCGGAACGCAGTGAGCGCACCGCCACCGAAGTATCCGCTGAGAACCGTAAACTTAAAGAACCACTCGAGGCGGCACAAGCTGAACTGGCCGACATGCGCCGCAAAATGGAGCACTTTGAGCGCGATCGCAGTCAGCTGGCACGCCTTAAAGTACGCAACACATACATTGAAAAGCAACTGAAGGCGCTCACATGGGAAACGGAGACGCTGCTACTTCGTAACGACACCCTCAAGAAAGAACGTGAAGAACTCAAAGCGAAATTCGATGAAGTCGTTACGGAGTTGCAACAGAAGACCGGCTTAAAAAATGTGCTGCTCGAACGCAAGATCAGCATGTTGGAGCGTGAAAATGAGAAACGCGATTTATTGTTAAAGCAAACACAAATGATGTGCGGTGCTACCGGTGATGCCTCAAAAAGTCTGGAGAAACAAGTCAGTTCAGTACTTGATGAGAAAAACAAAATAATCGAAGACTTGCGCTACGAATTGGTGCGTGTCGTTAAGGCGCACGACGACTTACTCGCCACATACGAATCCAAGCTGGTGCAGTTCGGCATACCACAAGACGAATTGGGCTTCGAGCCGCTGCGCTTGTCCGAGAAGCATCGTTATTTATGCGGCCCAGCTGGCCTGGTGACCAAAAATCAATGAAAAACTCCTGCCTGCTAGCTAACGGTGTAGACACGCTTATCGCTTTTGGTAGCGTTATGCTTTTTTCTTTCGTTACCTTTTGCATTCACTTCTTAAAGCTAGCATTAATGGAGGCTAGCATTACAGGAGGTTAATCGACTGTATGGAGTGTGATTTTTTTCCGTTCACTTATATTTTTTTAAATACATGTATGTAACTAGAAATGCATGTGTGTGTGTGTAACATTTTTTTTTGCATTTTCGTATGTTGTATGTATTTTCCACTGCTCAGCGCATGAATGGAAACTTTCGCTTTATGTGCGATGATTTACTGGCACATTGATGCGGCTGCAGGCAGAGTACACCACCTTGCGCCATGGTGAGAAGTGGTTGGCAGCGCGGGTGGTTAGCATGTCGGCGTCAGTTGCATGCAGGCAAGTCCATTATTCAAAAATTCTGCTGTGCATCGGCTGCAGTGGTATAGTGTTGGCGTTGGCGTTAACTATGTTTTGGCTGCAGCACATCTTGGCCATTGGCCAACCAACAGTACGTCGAAGAATATCGAATATATATATATGTATATATATGTATGTATAAAAATTCATGAAAGAAGCAAACTATAGCTGAACTTGAAAATGGCGTAGGAGAAAAATGATAAATTAAAGCGAAGGTGTGTAGATAAGAAGCTGTAGTATATTAAACTTGATAGGAAAAGTAAATTTGGTAAAGTCATTTATTTCAGGTGGGCTTCTATGTCATTCGTTTTTTTGGTTTCTTCGCTAATCGCATATCTGCTCTGTCAAAACATCTGCTGCCCTACGATCACTTAGTAGACTTCAAAGCTTTATGGCAGCGTGGTAGACCGGGGGTGGTATTTCTTGCAGGGGTTTAGCTGCAGAGGCTATAGACATAAACTGGCGTGCGCAACATGAAATCACATAATTGGTGGACCACTTTTCTTAATGCTCGCTAATATTTGCATTGGAGCGTAAAACCTTTTTGAATAAAACGCATGTATTGCTTTTGAGCTGGTTGAAGTTCGAATGTGGAGTTTTTTTTTTTTTATTTTTCGTCGGTTTTATTAAGTTTTCCTTGACAACATTTAGAGAAAAATTGAATGAGGTAAACTTAAAAATATGTTATTTTATGAAAAAAAATTAAATTCTTGATGTGGTAAGTTTAATTAAAATATGTACGGGTTTTCAGTAATTAAATTCGTTTTTTTTTGTACCCAAAAAATAAGACTTTTGTTATTATTATTGTGTTGAAAAAATATAATAAAGAGCACATAAAAGTTTTGGAAGTGATGTACAATGATAACATCTTATCTACGTTTATATTTTTTGTAAGGAATTTGAAAGGCGCTAATGCACGCACACCTCGAATTTTTGTATATAAAATTATTCAAGCTGTTTTCTGGAAAAGTTGAGTCATGTATGTATGTGTGTATGTGTATTTGTTTAAGTTACATTTTTGTTTTTTGTTTAGCTTAATTTTTCTTAATTTCGATTTTTTCATTAAATGCTAATATCCATGCGAATAGAATATATGTACTTAATTTTACGAAAGTTTAGTTTTTGCCGTAGTCCAAACATATGTTTTTTTTTTCTTTTTTGGCGGCAGCTTCTTGGCTGCTTGGCTGCTTCGCCATAGATATCTTATTTGTAAGGTTGTAATTTACCAAAGGAAAAATTTTAAAGAATTTTAATTCATATTTATTTATTTATTTTTTTAATCAATTTCGAATGTGGCCTTCGTATGACTCTACCATTTCCATTATTTCACTCATGCGATAAGCTTAACAATATCTAATAAGAATTTTCCACTTCTACTGCTAAACACACATTCATGCATAGGGAAGTATGTATAGTATGTATGTTTGTAACTATAGTCTAGTACACTATTTGATATTTGAGTACTAAAGAACTTATAGAATACTTCGCTTAAGAAAAGTGAACCTATTATGTATATTCTCTCATAACTTAAATACTTGCGGCAATATAAGGAGGATATTCAGAAAACTCAAATTTCTTTTATGTTGGGGATGTTCTTACATTTGCGAATATGTGTTCGATTTTCTTTTGCTATACAATTTTTTCATCTAATTCATTGTAATACTCGTACATACATTGTTTTTGAAAAATATCACATCAGTTTTTAACGGTTCTATTTTCTGTTTTTCTTTTACCATGTTGCTTCTTCTTCAGTTGTCCAACGCAGTGTATGTGTATGTTTGTGTGAATGTGTATGAATGTGTGTGAAAGTGTATATACCTATGGTGTGGTATGCTATGTTTTATACTGTAACAGTTATCTGCACTTTTGGCTGCGACAATTTTACGATTATTTTTATTAAATTCTTAAAATAAAAAAATTAAAATTAAAAACCTATTTTTTAATAAGATACAAAAGAAAAGCAAATTATGCACTATGGTTTTCGTTTTTGTTTCGTTCATTTTGCTATTGTGCTATTTCGTTTTTAGATTTTTTTGTGTATGTATTTTGCTTAAATTTTGAGGATAACTCGGAGTTTTGAAAGGTACTTTTCGGTTGCGCTTGATTTCTTTTGTTTTTGCTTGTCGTCGATTTTCTTTTTTGCCTAACCTTGAATTTTGCTCTAGTAGTTTTGTAGTTTTTTTTTACATGTGTGATGCCTTATTTTACTTTTATTGCAAATTCATTCGGTTGGTCCAGTAACGAAAATTAGTTTTGCTTTGCTTTTGTATGTGTGTGTTTATTTTATTTTTGTTTACTTTTCTATTTCGATTCGTTTCGATTTTAATACTTCTCAATTTAATTTCTATGTACGTATGTATGTATATCGTTCGTTTAACATTAAATTTTTTGCTTTAAATTTCTTAGCGATCACAACAGTTTTTCACAGACGAGTGTGTTTTGGAAATTTCGCAAATTTCTATTTTTATGTATTTCAAAATATTCTAAGACTTAAAATTAATAAAAGGAAAATCGTACATACGTAGTAGGTAATTAAATTTTAATTATAATTATAAATATCTTATTCTTCGTACATTCGATTTGGTAGTAATTGGTTGTATGTAGACACATAAATCATAAATTAAAGATTCAAATGTTAATTTATTGTTTTAGTTGCTTTTAACTAATTCATTTCATTTATTCCCACAAAACTTTACAACTGGTTTGGTCACTTATTCTAGCCGATTATTTTGTGAATATGTATAGTAAAATAAAGAAATTTTGAATTTTCAAATCTTTCCTTCTTTCATTTTTTTAGTAATTTACTTCCTGGAATGGCACGTATATAGATCCTAAATTTTCATTTCCCTATGTAGTTATTTTACTAGATAACGGCAATTTCGTATGTTTTGTTTGCGGCTACTTTTGTTGCTATTTAACCAGTTTTTGAAAGGCAGTCATAGATTTCAGTTGTCAATACAAAAATTTCACTATTTACTTCAAGTAATTAAATTTATTTAGTTTATTGTTCATTTAGTTGCAGTTGCATATAATTTTTACCATTTCCTTGTAATATTAACTACTAACATTCTAATCGATTTGTGGTATTTTTTCAATGTTTTTAGTCAAATGTTACTTGGAAATCTCGGCTATATTGCATTTTACACATTGGAATTTGGCAGCATTGTTTCTGATATATAAATATTCCTTTGCTTTAACTCTTTCGTTTATTTAACTAGGTTCCTTTCCCACGGAATTTATAATTTCGTGTATGTATTTTTCTATGATTATTTATGCATGTATCTTTAACACAATTAAATGAGATTCTTTATTTGCTTTCCTGCTAAAATTTGTTAAGCATTATGCTAATTGGAATTTCGAAAATGATTAACTTGAAGCAGGCCCAAGGAAGTTACATATCAAGAGTTATATGTACATATCGCACACGATCTTCAAAAGTGACACAACTCAAAATTACACGTTCGTCAGAAAATGCTTTTGCTTTTTTACATTTATGAATGTACCCACATTTTGCATTCCAACTAGCACAGCTTCTACTACTTGGTGCAAATTATTTCGCTTGTGTATCGGTGTGAGTTAATGTGTATATATGTATGTATGTGATTAAATGTATGGTATATTTATAGTGTAAATAATATATACTTCTAAACTAAATTTTTTGTTAAATTAAAAATCACATGTAAATTCCAAACAAATTTTAGTTTTCAGTTCTGTTTGCTATTTCGAATCAGTTCTGTTTCAGTATCAGTTTTAAGTTTCGTTTTTGTTTACATAATTATTTCATACATATTTAAATAGATTTATGTTTATGTAGGTATGTTTATTGCGCGTATTTGTGCCAATTACACGAGCTTTACTAAATAATTTCATTAGTAAATTTTCACCATTTATTCACTCATTGATACAAAATATAATTATAATTCACAATAATTTAGTTAAGTAGGTATAACTTAAGTGGTAGTTTGCATTTCGAATTATTTCGCATTTTTTTCATTTTCTTAAGGCATTTCATTTTAGCATCCATACGGGTAAGTTTCGTGTATGATTTCGATTAATTTTGATTTGATTGTATCTTTTCAATAGTATTGTATTCGAATTTTCAATTGCATTATTTTTTTGCTTGTTTGGCTTTTTCTTGTTCATTACTTTAAAAGTACGATTTGAACGGCGGTTAACTAGTATAACAGAAAACGTGAAAAACAATTGAGACAAGCATTAATACAATATAATTACTTTGTAATTAACAATATAAAAACAAATCACTTAGGAATATGTTTACTCAAAGTGGAGGTATATAAGTTTGAAAATAAAATAAATGTATGTAACTTCACGAATTGTTAAAGAAAAGTTTCGTAGTTCAGAAATTAACAAAACATAGAACAATTACCAACTAAGGCTTACAAAAAAAAAATAACTAAACCTCCATTTAAAGTTTCTTTCATGGTTATGCACACTACAATCTATGATAATATTAATCATGTAGTTATACTTATCATATGGTTAATATGTAAGTAGAGCATCTATGAAAGTATTATCATATACTCGTCTAATAAAGTGGCATAATTATACTTCACGCCACTCACAATATTTTAAGTGGCTTATTCATATGCATATATGTATGTAAGTATGTATGTGTGTGTATTAACCGTGATCATGGTCACCAAAATATTTTATATTTAAGTTAATGATTCTTTTCCCTCTCTCGCGAAGGAAAATTTCTTTTTTTTAACTTTCTACTTGCCCTCTAAGCAAACCAATTTTGTTTATTATACTTCTTGCTTGCTACTTATGCGCCACTCAGCGTTGTTGTTTTAAGATTTTGTGTGAACCTTAGCCGAAGTGATTCAAAGCGAAGTTATTTATTATATTAGTGGTGTGTTCATCTAAACCACAAATTTCGAGTATATTTTCATTGCGTGTATCCGAATAGCGCATTGATTTGCGAAACTTGAGTAAATCAAGAATGACGAACCTGTGAGAGAAGCAATTAAAGTAAATTATTTTGAGTGGAAAAGCATGTTATAATTATTATGACGAATCCAATTACTGATCCCAAAAGTGCAAATTTGATCATTTTGCTCTGCACACAAGAATGCTATGCATACTTGTGCCTATTTAAGTTAATCAAAATATAAATCATGATTTTCGTGTAGTGTAAAATAAAACCCAAAGTAATCAAGGTGTTTTCAATATTTATAATTCATTTTCGAAATTATCATTCTTCAAAACGAGATTAAAGAAAAGCTTTTCTGATGCCCCAAAGTGAAGAAAAAATGTGAGGCTATTCAAGTAAAGCGGAGTGTACATGTACTCAACTCAACTTGTTCCTTAATATTAATGAGCATGAATACCTTTTCCTAGAAATGCATACACAAAAATACTTACTTTGCTTTCGGGTTTCTTTTTTTCGCGATATTTGTCTAAAAATTTACATAGAAATTCAGAAGTTTGTTTGGGATTACCACGCCCGGCAGTTGGGACAATAACCAAGAACACATCGTATGTTTGCTTTCTTTCCATAGCACGCAAAATTGGCGTTATTAAACGTTGATTTGTTTTTGTAATCTACATCAATAAAGAAAAACATTCGAACATGCTGAAAATGATAATTATGCATAAAACTTACATCAAATATATCGCAAAAGCCAAGTGCATCTTCCACACTAATTTCTCGCTCCCAAGGCAACTGTCCCAAAGTAAGCTTATCATCGACCCAGTAAAACACATCAACCTCTTTCTCTTTTTTGTAGTAGCCTAATGCTAATGTTATAGCTGCTTCGAGAAAACCTAATTTTTTGTGGTTCTTTAAAGGTTCTAGAATTGGAATATAATTGGCGTCATTCGCATTATTTAAGGCATCGAAGAAGTATGCAACTGTGTAAATACGTATGTATTTCACTTACTTTTCCTATAATTTTTTTGAATATTAATGGTGATATGCATACGCAAGCCAGTACTTTGATTGTTGCCGAATGACTGTTCGTACAGCTGTTTCAAGAGCGGCATCTTCAGTGATTCGATCCGTTTGGGTGCCACCTGAAAAATATGTTAATTGGTATACAGTTTTTCATACTAGTTTTTAGTATTACCTTTGCTATGTCATCGCGCAAGCCCAAGTCACGCATTTGCATGAGGAACACAATTGGATGAATATTGTCTTTGCGCAATAGCTTCTTATTTTCAAATAATGTCTGGCATAGTTTCATTATCTTTGGATTATCGAAGTGATTGTAGCGAGCAAGATTGCGCCAACTCTTTAGCAGTTGAATATAAGACATGGTTGGTATTAAAGTCTCCATGATAGGGGCAAATCGTAACAAATGGCCTGGTACTTGATTGTAACGTAGTTTGAATTTGCGAATGATTTTCAATGCTTCTGCCTTGTTCTTAGTTGTGCGTAGTTTGCTTACTGACAGAACAGCAGTTGGGTACATTTCTGTGTTACTTTTGGTCTTTTCAACTTCAGCAGCGGTTGCTTTGGACGCTTTCTTCTCGTCTTCTGCTCGGTTTGTAACATCTACATGATTTTCAATAGCTGTTTCGCTAGATTCAGATGCTTTAAGTAATTCCGTACAGGTTTTGAAAAATGGGGTGACCACACCCGCAGCACCTATGGTTTCATCGTTAATGTGACATAGCTTTATAAGTGATTTGTGCGTAAAGCCATGTGCACCTCGATGCGTCAGCCACATTTGACGTATCTCATCGGGTGACTGATTCTCATACCAGGATGTTATGGCTTTGCGTGTGGTATTAGTAAAACCCTTATGATTTTGTTCTCGCCGAATGAGTGTAGCATATTTACAAAATAGGAAAAGGTCTTCATCATTTCGTATTAATGCCGGAAATGCTTTTCTTAACGACGTTTTCCATTTAATTTCGATGTCACTAGCTAAGTAGACGGCATATACGAAGAGCGACTAATATATCAATACGGAAAATAGAAAGGTTAGTCAACATTTGCAATATGTATATATGTACACATTTAAATAATATTAACCTCATCACGTCGCACTAACGTTGTCTCCTGTAGAGCTTGTTTCAATATCATAACCATTGAAACGTCATCCAACGCTTGGCAAAGTACCTGCAGCTGCGGCCAGTATTTATGCACATCCACTGAACCACGCAGATGAACGTAAACGGGTTCAAAGCCGCCGAGATAGCAGTAGCGTTGCAATTTAGCATTTGCATCCAACTCCATTGCTCAATTGAATACAATACTGGATGGAAAATAGAAATCGATTTCCTTCGAAATCATACAAAGAAGACAATAGTTAACTCCACTCACGTTTCAAACCTATTGCCACCGTCTGCTTTCGACACAGCAAATTTCACTCTTCGCTGCTGATTCTGACCACAGCCCCAAATCAAAGACGCAAAAACAATACTTCGATACGTTACCAAGTTAATTCCACTTTTCTTTGGATTTTTCCTTTATAATTGGGTATGTTTTTTGGTTTATTAAATGCAAAAATGGATAAACTCAAGAATGAAATGAAGAAATGTGCAAAACGCACAAACCGTAGTGAAATGCAAAATGCAGAAATTCTGCTGTATTTTGTGATGAGAAAAGAGATGGGATCTTAATCGATAATCGATAAGTTTTTGCAAAAATAACCGAAGTGTATATATAATCGATAATCAAAATTACAAATTTATCAATTACTACGTTTAAACGTAAGCTAATTGCAAATAAAAATAATTTGCAAATACCTAACTCACTGTTTATTCGATGGGGAAAAAATCTTTTTTAATATTGTCTGATTATAAAAAGGCAATAATATTACCATTGAAAAAGAAAATAAAGTTAAAAATGGCAACGTCTTGATTATAAAAAGGCAATAAGATGACCATCGAAAAAGAAAATAAACCTAAGAATGGCGGCGTCTTGAGCTTATTTGAAAATAGTACCACTAATCAATACTTATTTGCGTGATTTAGTTATTTGCAAATAAACTTTTCCAGCCTCGGAAAACGACTGTCTTCGACGAGTTTACCAAAGAAAATTTTACGCTTAAATGTGAAAAAACGCAAGAAGCGCTGCAAAGAAAAAGTCATCGTGTAAATACACGAGGATTTTCGAAGACTTTTAAAAGCGAAAATGCAAAAAAACGGAGGGTAAAAAGTCGTGGTGTAAATTAGCTCTAATTCACGTTTAAGAGAATCCCCTAAATAGTTTTTGAAGTCTGTTTCATAAGGAAAATATTTGATTATGTATTTGCTACAGATGACAAACAACGCAGGCGAATAGTTAAGAGTTGGCGTTAGCGTTGCCAAATTTTCGCTATATGAACGGCTGCATTTAATATCATGTGTTCATAGCCAGCTGTTGAAGCGACGCCAAAGTCAACGTAGCGCCAAAGCTGAATGTAGGCGGGCCTCCATATAAAATAGATTTTACGTTCTCGAAACGAAAAAGCTCTTACGCGAGAGCATAGGCTTGGTCACCACTGTGATTCACCAAAATCAGATCACAATTAGAGATTTTCTGTCCAAGAAATGTACTATCCAAATTTGGTTTAATTCCGTTTAAGTTTTTGAGTTAAGTTTTAACAAAGAAAACTACTACACTTTTATATCTAAATGCCTTGTTCACAGTGAAATACTCTTGCATTTCTGGCGTAGTATAACAGACGACCAGTTGAAAGTGTAAAGTTTTTTAAGCTTATCATGTGAACATCACTTTTCAATTAAAAAATTCGACTTTCGATTAATTGAATTTGATATCGACTTTGGTTAGTTGTGAATACACCATTCACTTACATCACTTTACACTTTACTCCCTTCACTTTCAGTTACATCAATACTTTACTTTACTTTTAATCACTTTACTTTCGGTTACATCAATACTTTACTTTACTTTTAATCACTTTACTTTCAGTTACATCAATACAATGACTTGTATGTAAATTTGTTGTTGCGAATTGCGAACTAAAAAAAAAAGCGCCAAATTTGACAACAACAAAACAAAATGTTATCGTCTAATTTGAATCTCCGTTTCGATTTGAGCATGCGCATGCTTGTCTTTAGTTTATAGGCAGCACTGTCACATATACAGAGAACGTAAATTTACGTTCTTTGATATATTTTACGTTCTACGTTGCCACGAATAAAGCTGGAACTCCACAGGAAAGCGTATGCGAACGTGTACGTCCTGCTGAGTTATATACTCATGTAAGCGCAGAAAACGGACAAAAATTCGAACATGAGTTCGAATGCGCACAGAGTTGAATTTTCTCAACTTTAATGCCTTTGCTTGCGCAGGCAACCAACTAAAGCTAATTACACCACACGTTTGGGTATACATATGTAAATACATATACCTACATATTTTTATGGAGAAATTTTGCGGCTTGGTATGTATTTTCTTTATAAATATGTATAAAAATGTGTATGTATACTGCTTCAACCTATCTAAATGACAACTGACAAACGCGTGTAAGCGCACACTATGGAGTTGCTCAGTTTTTCGCACGTAAGCGCATGTCAACGGATCTCGCATACGCACCAGAGAACAGCTTTGAGTATGATCGAGCCTTTTTGATCACACTCACTAAAAATCAAGCACAAGCGAACGCCACACTCGGCTACTATGTGTTCGATCGAGATGCATACCCGACAGCTGCTTTGGTTACGAACGAGTCTGTTCGATCACCCTCGCTATAAATTGAGCACAAGCGAACACCACACTCGGACACCCGCAGCTAACCCGAAAATTTGTGTAACAATGAAACGGACACCCGAACATTGCGATAAAATGCAGGACAACAAAGAAATTTACGCTGAAGGTAACTGGCGCCAATATGTTCCCACAAAGCATACGAAAATGTTGTTGCTTTGTGCTTGTGCATACGCAATGAAACAATTGGAAGCGAAGTAGACAAAAATGTTTTTGCATCTATTTCGTATAGTTTCGGGTGGAAAGCTGTGTGTTTATATATTAGAACACAGCCTAAAACTATGTAGGTACATAAGTACTTTTACAAAAAATAAATGTGCACCGAGTGTATAGGGCTTGGGCATTGCCGATCTACACACATTTATACCTAAATGGATGTAGGCGTCGTGATGCCGCATTTTGTATGAGCAAAAATATAAGAAATGGTTAAATGTACACTTAAACAAACTACCGAAAAATTCAACCTTCTCTTTACCCTCTACGCACAAAAAACTAAGAACACCGCGATGAGAAGGCAACATTTTTTGTAGAAACAAAAACGTCATAAGCCAATCAAGAAAATTTTGTGCACACTCGGGTGGAAACTCGAACACCCGGGTATATTGAGCTGCAAAGCACCCGAACCCAATCAAGTATGTATGAAAAGCAATCGGGTGTTGTGGCCAACATGTTCGTCTTGAGCTCAGTCGATAACGAACAATACTTCTGCTCGTATACAGAGAACGATGCAAAACGGGTTTTGTTAGATGATCGAGTATACACGAAAATCATGCACCCGCTGCAGATGTCTGATACGCACGCATGCGCTTGCCTACGGAGTTTCAGCTTAAACGCGTAAGTCTAAGAGATTGAGTGACGAGGAAAGAAAAGGGCACCAAGTTGCTCGTGCTCGGGCAACACACGTTGTGCTCTCGTTCGTCTGGGTAGTTCTAGTTGGCCGTTCGCAGCTGACAACAAAAATTGTGTACAAAAGATTTGCTTTGTGTGAACGTGAAGGGCAGCACCAAAAAAAAAAAAAGTTGCCGAAAATGAGCAACAAATGTTTCTCTTTGTGAACCCAGTCTAAGAGGACTACTCCACAACAAGCTTTTCAGAGGTTTGGCGCTTTTCATGCTTTCAGCAATAGCTGAATTGTGTAGCTGAAAGCCCGAAAAGCGCCAAACGCCTGAAAAGCTTGTTGTGGAGTTGTACTCTAAACGCCTTGTAACAGCGTTAAGGCCAGTATGCAGCTCTCAAGAACAGCAAAAACTCTGTATAAAATGACGCACAAGAAATGGCAAAGAAATTTTCTCGAACCAAATTTCCTTAAGGCAGTACGCAGTTCTTATAAAATTTGCTATGCTTTCTACTACGGTTTTCTGAAGTTTTTTGTGTGTTTGCAACAGCAATACATATATGCCTGTTCCATTATTTCTTAAGAAAAGAGCGAGGCGACCGGCTGTGAAGTATCAGATGTCAAAATACTTGACCGTTTTCTTGAGAGCTGCATACTGTACTTTCACTTCGTAAATAAACCGGCTTTCTTTACAAAATTAATTGAGTTTATGAGGTTTACGTAGACACTTTTATCACTTAACATAAAATTGCGATTCTGCTTTCAAACGGAGATAACTTTATTTGCCAACAAATTTTCACTTTAAATATTTTTTACACAAAATTTTTGCTGCGTTTCTTTATATATTCCAGATAATCCCATTTCACAGCCAAAATAAACAGAATGCGTTTGAAATATACGTTAACATACCATCAGGAACGTTCTAAAGAATAAGTAAACAAAAAAGTTTATTCCAAACGTTCAGAATAAATAAAGAAATGTGGCCTTTGTGTAAAAATGATAAGCTGGGATTTTTACATAAAATCGTAACATGCTGCTTAAGAATAACATCACCTTTTTCCTTCCAGTTACTTCTAGATCGCAGAACTTCTACAAGTTAATCAATAGCGAGGTTTACACGATCCAAGGAACATAGTGACGTGACAAAGAGAGAGATAAGACATTTTCGGAAACGTCAAAACTGAAACAAACGTCAGTTCACAACGCAATAAAACAAATGTTTTTGTTTTTATTGCTCGAGCGATTTTTTCAGAGCAATGATGAATCGCCTGAAAATCGCCTCATGTAAAGGCAGCTTTATGCTTTTCGAGAATGCTGGCATCTGGTAGCTGTTGCATATGGAGCATTTCAAAAAGGTTGTTATAATTTAAACATAAAGAATTGTATACTTTCGCGTTCTCGAAATTACAGTAATATTTCAAGACAAAAGAAAGCTATTTTAACAGGTCATTTATACATTTTAAGAATCCCTGTTGAATAAGAGACAATCGCTGTTATGCGTTTTTTTTTTGTTTTGTGATTTGAGTAGGTTGGCAGGTTTCCCCAACGCCGGGTTATCCCTCTGCTTTAATAGGTCTGTATCAAAAGAGCACCTGAGCACCGTGTATGCGTTTTTTTTAGCGATTTATCGTTCACACTGTCCCCGACCAGTGTTGCCAGGTCATCGGCACGAGAAAATGTCCCTCTTGGTCTAAAAAAAACGTCATTTTCTACCCAAAAACGTCTTTTTCAAATGCGTGCACAAAGAATTGTTCTTATTAAACTTTTCTTGTTACAAAGGTACACAAGTATGTATGTAAGTATATTAAAATGTCATTTCTACAGAACACATTTACAATTCATTGTAAACTGCTTTGAGATCGTTAATATAAAAATCATTTTATACATACACTTGATTCAGTCATCAAGAATTTGATCGATTCTGGCTGTTTTTTTGTTTAATTAATGTTTATTATTTTTCCATAAAAGCCTAGCTCATTATATAGCAAACTAAATATAAATCGACGTTTCAAACTTTGTGCAAAAATTATAAAAAAATCTGCAAAATTTCAGCTACATTTTCAACCTTTTATTCAGATTTTTAAGAATTTGCTTGAGTATTCAGCTTGATAGCCCATTAAACTTCAGAGTAATAATGTGCAAGTTATAAGTTGCTAAATAATCGCGTTGATTTTTTTTTTTCTTGTAGACATTTCGTTAGGTGGTCGGTTATCGAAAATGCTAAATTACGTTCTGCTAAGAAGCAACATATTAATATTTCAGCCTTTTTTGCGTTCATTACATTTGTAATGAAGCCTTAAAAAAGTCGCCTACTTTTTTCTGACTTTCTATGCTGATACAGTTTTTTTGGTGTTTTGCGAGCATGCGTGTTGCAATAGATCAGATCTTGCTGATTTGGCTTTTAATTTGACTTTGCAAACATTGCAATAAGGCTTTTAACCTCAAGTGCTTTGCATCATATTTAAGTCATCTGTGCCCAAAGAAAAAATATCTTTTGAAGAAGCTGCTGCAAAAAACAAAGCTTGTAAAGATTTATTAAGAAAATAATTCAAAACCAGTTACAAGATTTAGTAACGGAGAAAAATTACTGACAAGTTAAAAAACGTAATTTTTAACACAGAAAGCGTCCTAACGTCAACAGAATACAAAAAACGTCCAAATGACGTTAAAATGTTAGCCTGGCAACGCTGGCCCCGACACAGCAGTTTCTTTTGCGGTTTGAGAGCCAGTGTAAGTATAAGCGATTAATTAAATAGAAAATAGGGAGCACTGGTCTATTACCAGAGAACGTAAACGTTCTCTGTAATTTAAGGAACCGTTACACGCACAATTGTGTTCCATTCAAGAAAAATATTTGGGTGTTTCATATGGGGAAAGGCGTATTTTAGCACGAATGGATAAACTTGCTTAATTATTTTATGAATTAAACAATCTGCGGCTATTCGAAAATAATAATATAATGCGTGTAAGTATCAGCATATATGTATAATATTTATATCCAAGTAACCATGTTTTATATTTCTTCGTACAGATCTTACGTTCGCAGTATTTGAAGTACAAGGCACAGCAGGGTCTGGAAGCCAGTACAAGTCCTAAAACAACAACAACGGTAAGTAGTGTTTATCCTACAACTATTGTCGCCAATAGCCACCTTAGTTTGTATTTACCTGTGCCCTCAGCTGGCTTCGTTACACGATGAAACTGAGGTGCAGCATACAACCTCCAAAAAGGCAAATGGAGATTTGAAATCAATACAAACCGTTACGCAGACAACACGTACCACAATACGGCGGAGTTCGATAGCACCACTCAAGGATAATTCTTCGCGCGCACCCTATAGGCGCAATTCAAGTCATCCATTAAATGAAACTACGCAGATAGTAGCCGATAATTTGCAAACGTGTTTGCCATCTGGTCAAGACGAGATTAATAGCAAATGCCTTGATGCGCCTACAACGCCAGCAGCAATACAGCAGCGACGGCAGACAGTCGCTTGCACTAACGCCGATGAGCTTTTAAAACATCAGATATTAAACGCATTAAAAATTA